CTATTTTTAAACCAGTTTTAGATCGAAAAAAATCGAAGTTCTTAAAATTAAAATTTGATCGTAGTCCCCGCGATAGATAATATTGATCTTAAAAACATCATATTTAAATTTCAAGTGATTCGGTTGGATAGTTTTTATTTTTTTCATTCCTAAAGGACTATACCTTCGATTTTGTGAAAATTCTAGACCACTGGGATCCCTTATGGTCAACATAATCGGTCTACTGAGCGTACTAATCGCAACATCATCATCGCTCTTGAGACCCAGTATTTATTATTGGATAATATTCGAGCGAATATACCACGTCCAGCACGAAGTGAAGAAAATACGTATAGCAGCCGTAACTGTGTACAGGAAAACTTTCGATTCAGCCTCGTACGCAGTATTTCAGACTGACGTATGAACGACTTAGCGCAGATCTTAAACTGATAGCTTACAAGGAATACAGGAATTGAAGCCGTTGGGCTCCTGAAAAGTTCAAAGAAAATCCGATATTTTCGAGCCAAATTCTGTTCAGGGATGAGGTCCATTTCTGGCTCAATTGGTATGTACTAATTAAGCAAAATTGCCGCATTTGGGACAAAGATTAACCTAAATAGATTAAAAAGCCGCCATTTTATCCAGAAAAACAATGTTTTGATGTGGTTTGTGGGCCGGTGGAATCATCGGTCTATATTTCTTCAAAAATGATGCCAGTGAGAACGTAACCATTAATGGTGATCCACCACTATTTTTTGACTTATTGAAAGAACACTTCGAAGTGCAGATAATGTCTCGATCGGCTACTAAGATCGCGTGATATCACACCGTTAGACATTTTCCTGTGGATATATGACTTTAGTTACTCCTTGGATAAAACCATCACGCGTTTTTTTCACCAGGTACCAGTCGAACGGATCATCAAAATTTGGACTAAACGAATGGACCATCTGAGACGTAACCATGGCCAACATTTGAATGGGATAGTCTTCAAAAAATAGATGCCAAAAGATATTCTTTCGATTGATAATAAATGATCTGCACTATATTTGAATTTTTTGCATTTTTTCTTTAAAAAAGTAGGGAACCTTGAAATATATAATTTTTTTTAAACTAATATATTTTGAACTACGTCATATGTTCTGTGTTTTAGATAAAAAAAGTTCAATTCACCATTAATATATAAAAACATATGTACATATGTTGACCAGTATAAAAGACTAAATACGTTGATTTTGAGAATATTATATTAGCTACCAAAGTATTGCTATTTTAAGACATACTATAAAACAAAAGGCTTAAGGGGTTATACCAGTGTGAGGCACGAAAAATTAGGCGATTTTCGAGAATTTTTTTTAAGAGAAAGTTCGTGACTGAATATTTCGAACTTCTTCGAACGTAATAAGGTGTATTTTCAGCTATATTTTAAGATTTGTTTTTTACAAAAATGTTGAAAAATAACGGAGTAATGGGCTGTCTTCGGAGGTGCCAAAACAAAAAAAAAAAAAACAAAAAAGTGTCCCAACTGCTGGCATGATTCCGGTCTAATAATTGGCTGAAACAAGAAAATTTGAGAAGTTTATTAAACTTAAAATAGTTCCTATACAGTGACCAACAATTTTTGAAAAATATATGTGACGTAATTTTGAAAAAAAGTGTCTTTTTTTAACAAAAAATTTTTAGTTTTTTGAATGCCAAATTGACAATTTTCAACCAATCAAAACGATCGTAAGTCATAAGGTCGATCGGTTAAATTCTTGTTGAGTTTATGATGAGCAATTTTGAAAAATGTCGTTTCGAGAAAAATGCGTTTAAAGTGTCACTTATATAGGTTTGCACCTTCGAGCGGTCGCTGTTTAGAACGCTGCCTTCCAAAAACTATTCAAGATACCTTCCTGATTTCAGAGGATATTGATGAAAAAAAATAATAAAAAATTTTGTTTGAAAGCCTCACACAGGTAAAGCCCCATAAGGTAGTAGTCTGGTAACTTATGCCTATTTTCATGACTTCTTTGTAGGGTGGTTTTTTTTTATAGGAAAATAAAAATGAATTATCTTGAATATTTAGAGTGT